ACTTCCCCTTTACAGATAGAGACAGAATATAACACAGCTTGCATGCAGCGCTTCTCGTGGCAGTGGACTTTAACATCGATGGTCTTTACCCCAAATTCATAACTGAAATTCGACCTAAATCTTGCATGAAGCATAATTTATTTATTTATTACAAACGCGAACATGTGTAACTAAACTCATCCATCGTCGGAACACGAAAGATTTTTTTTACACGTAATTATAAAACGCTGAAACCGCTGTGAATATATTTTTTCTCTCTGGCAGAGAACTCGAAGGTCGATATATACACGCGGCCCGGAAGAAAATTGACGGCAGAACGCTGTGAGTTTGGCGGGAAAACAAATGTTCCACGGAGCAGGAACACATGAATGCAGTAGAGGTTCACTATTCCTCGCCGTACTATCGAGCACGACTTTGTCTGATAGAAACAAAATGGGTGGGTAATAATAAATATGGCTCGCTTTCGTGTGATTTCCTCCCCTAAAGTCTCCACCCAAATGGCACGCGTGGATTTTTCATGTCTTCGACGTTTTGCTTTCACCTGAGAGCAAGTAGACGCGGAAATTACACCAGGGCAACATAAAATACAAGAACTCTGACAACAACTGCGTCTGGTTTGTTCGCGACGGTAGGCAGCTATGCCCTCAGCATCCCAAGAGCAGCAGGAGACCATAATAGAAGAAGACCAATACTAGCATCGGTCGTTGTTTGTGGTGCTATCTGCTGCCAATGGTGACAACTTTCCCACGTTTCTACGTAGTTCTCCATACCGCCGGATTGTACCGGGATATTCAAAGCAGCTGCAAAATTATATTAATCAAAATTTTTTATTAATAAACGTTACTTATATTAACAAAAATTAAGAATACAACTTCAATAACAAAAATTTATGAGGGCTATTTATCTTCGAACTCTTCAAAGAAGATTAGCCTAACAAGAATTAGTCAAAAGTTTTGCGTTAACAAGTATGCATCATATTACATTATTCTGTTTCCGTCTGTATAATCCACTGATATAAATTCCGACTGAAATGCGTTAAAGTTGTCACACGATCTCAATACTGAAGTTTTTTAAAACAATTAAGATATAAAAATGTCTGTACAGAAATTATTTATCTGCATTCAAAATTTCACACGCCTATCAAAATGGTTCCTTAGTTATAGCTACATTTTGCCATCAAATCGAAAGATAAAAAAGTCTTCTGCTCGGCTGCTGTGTTAATTACAGCTTTCAGGATCTTGACGAAGTGAATTCGACTATCACACATGTCGCCTCTATCTTCAGAGTAGACCTACAAGACTACATCATGTCAAAACACAGGAAAAGAAGCTTATTTCTCTTTTATTAGAAAGAAAGAAGACTAGCTGGGAATATATTGAACACTTAAGGACAGACGACAAGGGGTGGTCCTCCTGCTTGGCGATTGGATGGAGGACACAACTCACCATCATAAAAAAACCAGAACATTACGAAACTTTAAACGGAGCCTCAAATTATAGGGCTGTTGTTAATTCGATAATGAAAGTAAGGGGTACGTATTTGGCTAGCTCAGTGTGCTATCAGCTTCTCAAGAAGAACTTTAATAAATGTTATATTAAGTACCTTTTTTACATACGAAGTAATTTGCAGTTTCGGCACGCGTTATGAATATGCTAATGGCTATCAGGACATGTCACTTGAACTTACAACGATATGGAGTACAATTTTTCTTCAGAAACACAAAGAAACAGATTCAACGCACAGGTGGAGAACAATTCGTCCTCTAGATAAACGCCTTAACTGTTTGCTTTTTTTATATAATTTGCTGAGAAAGCAGGCCTTGTAATGTGTCCATAAAATGAAGAGGGCATTTTATTTGTGTAGATTTGTCTCATTCCCGCAAAGTATCAGCCAATTCCGTTATTTTCAGAATTAAATGATGGTACGACGTGCTGTCCGGGGTCTGTATACATGAACTAGGCAGAGGCTCTTCGCGGAATCTCTCGTATTGATCTCAACAGCACGGCCACTGCACTTGGTCCATGAGAGAGAGAGAGAGACACACAATGGAACTGAGCGGAAGGAGGTCGTTAAGAGAAGCGAGAGACGGGGCTAAGTGGCGTAGTACGGGGGAGGTAGAGACTGAGGACAAAACAAGTGCAAAGTAGAGGAAACTGTGTGTCCCTGTTAGCATGAGTTCCTATCTCCCCACACCCCGATTTCACCCAGCATCGCATTCACAGGCCAGTCCATTTCAGATAATAATTCTGTTCACTGTCACGAGGAAAATGACCTTTGACGACCTTGACCTTTCAAGTTTTCAATCCAAACCAAGTAACACAATTTAAAAAAGGTCATGTTCGCCCTACAGAGGACATCGGAGGGCCGAATGCGAAATTCGGACAGCGAGTTGAGAACCCCCGTGTTAAACCTTGTGTTGATGAAGACGGAAGTGAGAAAATAATACACATTAGACTGTTTTTGTTACAGCACACAAAGGAAATGTATAATTTTGTATTTTCCAAGTCTCATCGTGCGAAAAAATCTTAATGTGTCTGGAATAACATGGAAACAAAATTGTCTTGAAAGTGAAGTAAATGAGCCGTATTATTCCGTGTGTTCAGAAGTCGAATTCAAAGTCTGCAAAGGCCTGCAGTCTCATTCATTTGAGCTCAAAAGAGCTACGGGCCCGTGAAATATGCCTCGAGCAGTAGCAGATTTTCCGTTCTGCCCAGTTTTGATTGGCGTGGGTTGCTGAATGCGTTCCAAGTCACTCAGCCGAAAACTGTTTTTAGCCAAAGGAATCCCGACGAAATGCGGAAGGAAGTGGATGCAGGCTTAGACTTCAAACAATTTTGCGATACTAGTAGGGGCTTTTTAAGCAAGGTTACTTTCGTGGATAAATAATTCGCTTCAAGCACTTTCTTTCAGCGCGGAAGCTGGCTTTGCCTCAGTAGTGTGTCGGTGTCAGTAGTGCCTGAATGTAAAGATCCCCAAAACCAAATTATTTGATTCTATATTCAAATTTTGGTCTAAAGAAGCGTCTCTAATTATGATATTTGAGGTTCTCGCAGAGATAAAGATGTCGATGTTGATCTTCTGGGTAGAAACGCCGTGTGAACTTGTAGGTAGTTATTAACGTTTTGGAGGAACATACTGTATCCATCTTTATGATCGAAGTTTGAGGTAGTATGTACCTCCGAAACTTTAATATCTACCTACAAGTTCACACGGCGTTTCTACCCAGGAAATCAACGTCGACGTTTTTCAAGATCGACAAATAACTTGGGTTGTGTCTTTAAGTCCGGTTAAGGATTTATGTATGGTATTTCTTTAATTATAAAATAAAAAGAAACCAGTTACAATATCTTCAACGGGAATCGAATTCATGACCCCGGAACCAGTTCGTTATCACAGTGCTACATTCATGTGGTTTATTTTGATACGCTGTTAGTAGCTCAGATTACATAGGATAGTGGTATGTATGTAGACCGTCTGGTAAGGAGAGTACTGCATGACAGGAAGATACATTTTGGCAGATTGAAATAGGAGAAGAGAGAGAGACGTTGATAGATCAGGAAAGTACGTTAAATCTAGCAAGGCCATCTAACAAATTGCTAGTTATTCGTACACCGATTCCAGATTGAAAAGTCGCCGAGCTACTGTGGGGACGAAGTTGCAGGAGAAAAATGAATGCCCTCATGAAACTGGGATGTGATCAATGGAGACGCTACGCTGAGACGTCAGGCTTTTCTGCACCAGGCCTGAGTGTGAAGGAGACCCACTTTATTTCTGCTTCGCGGCGTTGTAGGCTTTTCTTACTTGTCTGTGTGGCGAGTTACAGGGGACCAATCTCATCACACAGATTTTTATTTCCGAGTTTCAAATTGCATTCTTTTCTGTTAATTTTGACGTCAATAATGTTTGAAGCTAAAATATTCTAAAAATGGTATACTCTCACATTTTAATATCGCCATACCATACCATATTGCGAAACAAAATGTGACAACACTGTAACATACCACTACACAGACGCTTGGATTAAATAGGCATTTACATTTTTTTAGTTAGTTCTGTAATTTTCTATAAATTCCAAGACTCTTAGTACGTTTAATTTCTTCATTATGTCTAATTCGTTTAAAATTCAAACGAGTAGCAAATCCTCCTCTTTTCCTAATGAATTTAATTTCTGCCTACGTGATTTTTCTTTTATCAGCTAAGAATCAGTCAGTTGTAAATCTTGTAATGAAAAGTAAGAATTGATCGAACTCAGTTTCGAAGGTCTGTTT